TAAGAAAACATCAAGATAAACTAGTATATTTTTTTTTGTCTGATTTAGCAGTACATCCAAATAGCAATGACCAAACACAGCAAGTCATCTCACCTAATACAAAACGCCACATCAACATTTTGGCCAGAAATACACCTTGCGTTTTAAAAAAATATTTTATTTATTAATTTTATTTGCTGTGTATGAGTGTATTGCCTGCATGTGTGTAAGTGTACCCGTGCCATGCAATAGCCACAAAGATCAAAAGAGGGTGTTGATGCCCTGGAACTGGAGTTATGGATGGTTGTTAGCTGCCATGTGGGTGCTAGGAATCAAACGTGGATGCTCTGCAAGAGCAGCTAGTGCTCTTAACTGCTGAGCCATCTCTCCAGCCCCTACACCTTGTGTTTTAACACTTTACAACTTACTGAACCATTTCAGCTACCTTCCAAGTTAGAGGCCAACCTGGGCTACATAGACCTTTGTCTCACACAATTTTTTTTTTTTAAAGTAGGCACTGAAGGCTGGATTGCCTAGGCTCAAACCCAGGATCTGTTACCAGTTAGAGTGACCTTACACAACACACTTAAACTCACTATGCCTTTATGTTTACATCTGTAAAACTAAGAAAAAGTGTTCAAACCACCTACCTTACAGGGATGCTTTATGAATACTGACTGCATTCACGCATTAAAGCAGTTATATTCTAGAATCAGTCACTCAGTGACATAGTCTACATGTAAACACTGAAGAAACATCAGCAAGACTCCGCTCCCAGAGCTAAATATTTTAGGGCCACATTACGGATCCTTATCTTTAACAATCTTGTTGCTCCTATGATTCATAATTTTATCAGTAGACAGATTATAATTTTCTCACAAAATAATGATAAAAAGAAACCTTGAGTTGGATGTAATGACTCAAAAAGGAAGAGAGAGGGCAAGAGTTCAAGTGTGGCTTCTTAAAAGAACCCCGTTTATTTTTGTTTCCAGAAAAATACCATATGCAATTTAAGTATTTGCAGTCATTTTCCAGCACAATGAAAGGTCAGGCTAAATGGAAGTAATATTTGTGTAACCCATGGTGACTGTCAGGGAGTCTGCTTCCCATGGCTGGGTCTTTACTGGTACAATGTAGTGCCTCTCTGGGAGAGCACTCTCTGTGGAGGAAGAGCCATACCCTCCCGTGGTGCCCACTCCATGGAGCACTCCTAGGGTGTGCAGAGCATGGTTGCAGCTGGCAACTGTGGAGAGCTGTGAAAAAGAGCAACTTCACCCAGAGCAGGGGGAGGGGTGGGAAATCAGCAGCAGCATGTTAAAAGAATTCACTTTCTCGTTTCTGGTTTCTTAGAACTGTCAGGGTACAAAAGAAGATGAAGTGAGAAGAATGTGATATTGGGGGACAAAGAAAAACAGAAAGACCCACCAAGACATAAAACAGGTAGAAAAAACTGCAGTTGGTAGGAACAGTCACAAAATAAGGACCAACTTCAAGATGAAACCAAAGCAAGGGTACAGATGGTCAGGACAAAGAAGCTCTGGACACACCGACTATGTCAGAGCCACAGCGGACAGCCACACAAGACCATCGCGGGTCATGTCTTGATCCTCTTCTAGTTCACTTGAGTGATAGGGCAGAATGCCACTGTGTAGCTGGCATCTGTTTATGTCAGATGTGATGTCACAGTTCCTTCCTAGAAATGATACCTCCTTCTAAAGCATCATGGGAAGCATCATGTAAAAGTGTGGTCTGCAGGGTTCAAAAATGAAGTGTAATGTCAAAGAACCCAACGGGGAGCGTAGGCCATCCCGGTCCCAGGGTTCTATGTGAAAAAGGAAATCTCATTCTAGGAAAGAATGTAGTATTAAACAAAAAGCTATGGACTGTCATCAGCTCAGAAGTTCTCCAAGTCACAATTGCAAAAATAGCAACAACATGATTGTTTTGTATTTATATAGAATTTTAAAGTTGATAAATAATTTTAATGAGTGATCTGTCCCTCATGGATATTTTGTATGAATCCACAAGACAAGACAGAGCTTTTCATATTACCTTTCTATTCTTTTTCTTGGTGTGTGTGTGTGTGTGTGTGTGTGTGTGTGTGTGTGTGTGTGTGGATGTGCATGCACGTGTTCATGCATGAATGTGTGTACACATGTGTATGTGGTGCTGGAGACTGAAGCAGGTCTTATTCATGCAAACACTCTGCCTCTGACCTATTATATCTAGAGTCCCATATTATTTATTAAGTCCCTAAGAAGTGATTTTGTTACACGTTTTTGTGATGTAGCAGGGGTAAAGAACACATGTGACACATGAAGGAGGGAGTATATGTGCCTTTGTGTGCTGTGTATATACAGGTCAGAGACTAACCTTAGTTGTCCTTCCTCAGGTACCATTCACCCTTTTTTTAAAGAAGAGGGTCTCTAATTGGCCTAGAGCTCACCAAATAGGTTAGGCTGGCCAACCAGTGAGTCCCAAGGATTTTCCTGTGTCTACAGCCCCAGCACTAGGATCACAAGCATGTACCACATGTCCAGCTATTTGTATGTGGGTTCTGAAGACTGAACTCAAGTCATCATGCTTGCAAGGCAAGCACTTTACTGAGTTATTTCCTCAGGCCCCAGACACATAGTTTAATCTATAAATACTACTCATAGAATCTTATTTGTAACCACTATACATAAAAGGCAAACCGTGTTTTAGATACTAAATCTATTTTAAAATATCTACTTTTGTAGAATGAGTAATTAAATAAAATTTATGTTAGTTAAACCAGGTGTAAACACTGTGATACCCTGCATAGACCACTAACCATATCTCATTAAGAACTTTCTAGATTTCTAAACCCTCAAACATTCTAAGGGGGTATGATATAGTTGAGTAATTACTTTAAAAAGGAACGTATTAAAGGAACTCCCTTAAGGGTCTTTAAAAACAGCATAAACAGGAAGCATGCTATAAGGTTATGAAGAATGGTAGAATAAAAATGATCATGGCCTATTTCCAGAACGAAGAACAAAAAAAAAATTTTTAAAGCTAAAATTGCTTCCAGCTTGCTAAGTTAAAATGAACTGTTATTTCATTAAGCAAGTGTCTTATTTACTCTTCGCTCTATATACGATAACACATATTGTTGAGAGTCAACAGTTCACATTAGCATTTTTTAATTTAGGAAAAGGAAGAAATCATAAACCCTAAGGAACAGTTCTCTGGTTGACATAGTTCATCATGCTTGGAGGGTGAAGTGTACTAATCTTTATTAAACCTGTCCTTGAGATACAAAGATAACGCTCTGACCCTCAGTCAGCAGGGCATCCATCTGAGGTTCTCTTTCTTTCAATTTTAATGATAAATCTATGCTGATCTATCCTCCTTTGTCCATCTAGTTTTCTAGTGGTGCATAACAGAAGACAACTACCTGGTTCCAGGAGACAAGAGGTGAAGCGAAGTACCCCTTGGCCTTGACACTGTTAGTAGACTTCAGGTTGTTTACAGCTCCTATCATTAGCTGTAACTACTGTGCCTATTCATGTTTCTTGTTTGGCTCTATGTATTGGAAGATCTCACTCTACTAAAGTCAGCTACTAATTCCAGAATTAATCTGGTTCAGAGAAGATCTAGGCCGATTCTGACTTCCGACAGATCACAGATGGATTGACCTGAGCATATTCATTCATTCAACACATACTGATGGAATATCTCATGTACCAGGCATTGGGCACAGCAGTGGGAAAACAAGGGAAAACAGACCCAAACTAAGACAATTGGTGGTCTATCATGGGTCTGGCTGAATATGCTTGTGCCATCCTGCCTTATCTTTGAGCAGACCATAGGGAAGGCAGAAGAAAGGAGGTGGTGAGTTAGTTAATCAGAGAGCAGGTTTTCAGGGAACAAAGCTAAACACCTCCTCTTGTGCCTTCACTCCCAGACTCCTTACTCTTCTGGATAAGCCCCACATGCCCAAAGGCCTCTTAAAGTTCTTATTTTGAGAAAGTTTTGCAAGCCACATAAACTATACTGCTATCCCCAAAATGTTAATGCTCGGGTATTCCTTTGAAAGAAAAGGGAAATTCCTTTGAGATTTTTTTCTCAGTAACAAGGAATGCAATTAGGCCCTTACTTGGCACTAGATCAGTTCCCATAGCCAAGAAATCTCAGGGTTAGGAGAACAAAGCTACCAGAATGCTTTTGCTATTGACTATGGCTGGCCTAAGGTTCAAGGGTTAATGTCTGAGAATGTTTTACCCCTTTACTTTAATTTCCCAAGTAAGCAACTTCCAAATACTAAAGCTCAGAGAATGCAGAGTGCAAAATCCTTTCCATTACATTACTGAAAAATTACAATTTATTGCTAATGCTGGTCTTTCAAAGTATTACTCAGAACACCTGCAAACCTTTGGACAACAGCTGCCAACAGAAGTTTAGCGTTTCATGGACTGGCACATAAAACAACAAATAAATCATTCTTGCAATCAGTGTGAGGCGCTGGGTTGACCATGTATTTAAAGAGCTGGTTAAAAAGTATAAACCGTGGATTACATTATAACTACACTTCGGAAAATGGAAGTCAAGTAAAATATTGATTGTTATTACCACATCTGTTTCGTCAGTAGCACACTTTCTCAGAAAGGAAATTTTCTTTTTACAGAGAGTGTAAACAATATAAAATTTGGCTATTTTATATGTACATGTGCTTGACAAACGAAGAGTTTCGGTGCTCTATAAAGGTTATGATGAATGCTCAAAAAAACAATTTAGGATACTCATTGTTTAGAAAAATATTTGAAAACAACATGTGACTTTTGGGGGAAGATATACATTGTTCTTCAGATATATGCACATTTTCATCATTCTGTTCTTGAAATCACACAAGTCATTGTTTGACCTGTGGTAGAACAAATGCTATGCACTGGGTATTCGTTTGGTATGAGGAACTGTTTGTGCCGTAGGCCTCTGTTTAGGAGTGGCTGTGAGTATTCAAATATACTTATAAAGTTCAAGGTCATGGAATGACTCACCTGTGCTATGAAGATTGTGTACCTCTTTTATCTTCTTTGCCTTTGGCAAAAATATTAGGGCAAGACAGGCTGTTGGTAAAGAAAGTACCACTGTTAGGAATGCTAAATTTGGGTTTAAAGTCTTCTTTTTTACAAGGGATAAATGGTGATTCAATGTGGAAGAAAAGCCAAACTTTAAAAAGGCAATCTAAACTGGGCGTGGTGGTACACGCCTTTAATCCCAGCAGAGGCAGAGGCAGGCAGAACTCTGTGAGTTCAAGGCCAGCCTGGTCTACATAGGGAGTTCCAGGACAACTGGAGCTACAGGGAGACCCTATCTCAAAAAAAAAAAAAAAAAAAAAAGCAATCTCAATCCAGAAGCACCACCACACATCCAGAAACCTTTGTAGTCACCAGTGAGAGTGACTTTAAGCCCACTGTCCACACCCAAAAGTAAAGGAGAAGCCCAGCTTAGTTAGATGATGCCTTCATTTATTTAAAGGCAACATTTCTAATGCACTTGTGTTTATTTCTCTGACTGTTTGTTATCAAAGTTTCATAAAAAAGCTGGGTCATTAGCAGCCATTGAAATATCAATACCATCAGTACCAGCTCACAGGCATTCTCCTGGATTCTGTGAGGGGGTCAAGATGTTCTGGGCAAAAGCTCTAGCATCAGTTATACTATGTGATTATGTGATGCTGTTCCTCAAAAGAGGCTGCATGGTTAAATGGAGACCAATCAATCTGAGTTGGATCAATGAACTAGCAGCCTCAAAACTCTTGACTAAAAGTCATTACTGCTCAATCACATTAACAGCAATATCTTATTAGAAAAAAGAGCCACAAAAATTCTATGCTGGAATTATGTCAGCTTCCCACTGGTGTCCTCTTTTTGGTTTGGTGGTCAGAGTTGCCCTTCCTTCAATTCTAACATACCCCAGCATTCTTCCAATACAAAAAAAGTCTAGAAATAATTTCCTTTGGTTTCAGCTGACCAGTCATTTCTACAGCTTCCAATGAAAAGAATCTTGTAGGTAAAAGATACCAGGAATTCATAAAAAGATACATGTTTATAAAGGAGAACTATAAAGGGCAGGATCAATAGAATTGCTTATATTTGTGAGGCACTAAACTTTTGACAGATGCTCTCACACAATCAACCCTGTAAGGGTTGGGAAAGGTTACTGTTATTACCCAGAGGACAGAGAGGAGGCAGCTCTAAGAGGGTGCTGCCTCTATCCTGTAGCTGCCTGCTGGCAAGAAGCTTGTACACAGGTCTGCTGACTGCTGGTCAAGCAGCACCACTGCAATCTGAGTGTTAAATATCCCCCAGAAGCTCATGTGTTTGAACCCTTGTTCTCCAGCTGGTGGTGATACTTTGGAAGGTTGTGGAACCTTTAAGAGGTAGAGCCTCAGTGAAGGAAGTGGGTCATCAGGGACTAGCCTTGAGGTTTTATACCCAGGCTCCATCTGTTCTCTGCTTCCTGACTGTGGATGTAATGTGACCAGCTCCTCTTATTCCTGTCACCATACCTTCCCAGCCATAGTGAGCCATATCCTCTTGCCCAGTGAGCCCAAATAAATGCTTCCTACCTTAAGTTGCTTCTTTTCAGGTATTTGATGACAGCAATGAGAAAAGTAACTGATATAAGTGCCTTTTCCATGACAGTCCATGGTGTGCTACCTTGCCTTTCCAATTACACTTGCCTTGAGAACATTTGCCTGACTGTATTCAACTTTTTTCCATACAGAATCCCAAGTTAAAGGGAATCTTATAGAAAATATAAATAAAAGAGAAAATAAAGCTATTGGGGAGGGGGAATTGAGATATTGATTCTCCCATTATTCTGCCCAACCCTATCTAGTGATTTGAGAAAGGTTTTAAAGCGGAAAATGTGCAAACTATTGTCTTGGTATTGATATTTGCCAATAAAAAGAAATGAGAGCTGAGAGGTGCCTCCTTTTGATATGTACAGCAAGTTTACCAACTTTCTACTCATATGACCTATTAGCAGCCACAGCCCATGAACTGTGCTACAGTGGTATTCAAGATATTTTTACTTCATGTTTTGAACATCCATTCCCAATATATGTTTGATGGTTTGTTTACAATTCATAAACACATATTATTGTATAAGTATGTTAAACCTCATATGAACAGAAAAAGGAAAGCAGGATGGATTTGCATAATGTTTTAGTCATGGTATCTTAAGACAGATACACACAGAATTAAGTTCATGATTAACCACAAAAGATACCAAGTCCATGTCTTTCAGATAATTTCAAATTTTCGTGGACAGCTTCCTCCCAGATGGCATCCATTGACCCAACTTACCAAACAATGTGATTAAGAGCTCATGCAGAACTTTGACACTCTCTTCTTGTCCACAGTTATAAAACTATCTTCAATTTATAGGAATTCTTTGCAGAATTTGTTAAAGAATCTAATTTGCAAGGATTTTCAAAAACTTTAAAAAAAAACAAATAGATTTTGTAAATCCAGTTAACCTCCAGGTCTTCTCTTCAATCCCTTGGAGGTAACCACTAGTTTGATGCCTGATTTTTTTCAGTTACAAGTGTCTTGATTTTTTCCATAGTTTTAGCCACTTACGTAAGCACACTTTAGTGACAAGTGTTTATTTGTATCTGTTTTCATAGTTTGTATAAATGTAATAGGACTGTTATGTACTAATATTCTTTTGTATCTTCTTCCAACATCATGTCTGAAGGACACATCAATAGTCCATTTTATAGCTATAGTTCACTTTCCCATTGCTATATATATATATATATATATATATAGTATTTCAACATATAATTACTTTTGTCTTTTTGAGACAGGGTCTCCTTGAAGCCCCAGCTGGCATGGAATTCACCACGTAGACCAGGCTTGGCCTTGAACTCTCAAGAGATCCACCTGCCTCTGCTTTCTGAGTGATGGGATTAAAGGCATGTGCTACCATGCCTGGCTAGAATTATACTTTTAACATACTTTTAGATACGTATGAATCTAAAGATACGCTTCTCTAGAATAAACACACACACACACACACACACACACACACGCATGCATGCAAAAGTTGCAGTTTAAAAGAGCCTAAGTGAAAGCTAACGCAAAATAATTCCAATGTGTCTCTTGCCAATCAATTTTAATATTAATTAATTTTTGTAGCTGTGAAGAAAGGTCATTTAATTTCTAGATTTATCTTTTTGTAGACTTTAATTCCTGTACATTTACCAAATAAAAGTTGGTGTTGGATATAGCTTATCTTACTCTTTTTAAAAGTCTGAAAATTTCCAACAGATTTATTTAAGCTGCTTCCCCTTAAATCAATCTCTCCCCTGCCCCCTCCCCTCACACATTTTTACATAAGAACATTTTTCTTTTTAATGAAGGTCAATATTGTGTATACTGAAGGAATAAAAATTTCTTTCAAATTTTAAAGCAATTTTGCATCAAAAGGATTTCAAGTTAACAATGATTAAGGCTATAAAATAAAAAATGTTAATTCTGTAACCAAATTAAAGAGTGTAAATACAAGTGATAAAGGTTAATTTTTAAAAAGATTAACTTCAACTTCTGAGTCTCCAGCTTTTCACTACTATCAAGAGTATTTTCCAAATGGAGTGTAGAAATGGTCTCTATAGGACAGTCCTATGGCACTCACACAATCTACTTACTAGTATCTACCACTGTCTCACCGACATCCAACATAGTAACTAACATCCTTTACTGTGCCAGATTTCCACATACAGATCTGATTTACATATGTACTACTTTACACATATTAGTATGTCAAAGCAACTTGATGAGGTAGATACTACGGTCATTCCTCCTATCTTACAAGAAGAAACTGAGGCACAGATAGGGAAAGTAACGACCAAGTTTCTATAGCTGTGACTCAAAAACCATTTCTCCTTGAACCTTAGACTGTACTGTTTCATTACATTACTCTGCAAAATGTTAGTTTCTTTGTTGTTGACATTCTTACTGTTATTTTGATAACAAGAATAGTTCTTTAAGATCTAGGGAAAATATGTGAACCTTGGAGGGGAGTGCAATCTACATACATTTGTTTGATTTAGAAGAAAATTCTGACAATGATTGTAACTAAGCAACCCTCTAATTCTGGAAGAACTAATTAAGAAATGAATTAAGGGATTCAATGGGTACCCAAATTAGTCATTAGGGCTCAAAGATCTGGAGTTCTGGTCTAAATCCAGCTTTGGCACTTGTTTCCAAAATAAACATGACCAGATAAGTACCACAGCTCACAATTAAAATGGATTTAGATGGCTTATGTGTCCACACGGGAAAGGCCTCTTCCTAATTGAATCCGGACATCTCTTGAGTTACTACGGGTTTCATTTACCATCTTCCTAGTCTTTCTGTAACTGCTGGCAATAGAATTATGCTGAGGGAGAAATCATTTCAACCAGAGATGTCTGCAGTACAAGCACAAAAAGATAAAAGCAAAGCCTTTGAGCTGTAATTAGAAAATTCCTTAAGTGTGCTCATGTGGCATATGTTTTAGACAACTACCAACTGGCAAGACCGGTTACAGAAGGGATGTCTAATGTCACTGTTCTGGGCTAAACAGTCAGTAGAAGTAGTGTTCCAGCATGTGATTAGAGCAATCTTTTGTAGGCCAAAACATTCCTGCTTCCCACCTCTAATATGATTAGTGACAGACAGCTGGAGGCATCTCATTCTCCTGACAAAAATATGATCAGAATTGTTTTCAATTGGTACATCTTTCCATCAAGCTGTTGCCTTCCAGCAGAATAATCAGAGCTTTTGATTATTTGGTGTATGTTCCAAGGAAACAGAAATTGCGCCCTTGCTTATATGACGGAAAGAAGGCTGCCAGAATTTACAGACAACTAAAATGTGTGTGCATGCATGTGTGTGTGTGTGCGTGTGTGTCTCAGGCTCACACATGTGTGCAAATGTATAGAAAGATAAAAAATCCATCAGTTTTACTGTATAATTTTTTTCTCAGCTTTTTTTCTCAGCAACTATAAAGAATTTCATGATGACTCAAATACAAGAATTAAATATCCAAATCTGAGTAAGGAGTATGACCAACTCCCACCAAAGTTAATGGCTTTTTTCAAAAAGTTATTTATAGTTAATCTCACTTTTAAAGTTTCAGGTTTATGGAAAAAAAGTCAAGTTTAAACATTAATAGAAATACCTAGGAGGTACTAAAGCTTAGTTAGTTTGGACTATGTCAATTTGAAATTTGTGATTATTGGACAGTTTTGAGACCCAAACCCTTTCCACAGGGAATATAGACTGCTGGGGCAATTCATAGACTGTATGATAAACCTGAAGTAACAACATGCTTTCTGTCTACAAAGACTTCTGACATATCCACTCACTAACTGACTGCGGTAACAGTTATCATTCTATTGGTCCTCAGTTTTGTATAAGTTTCTTTTACATAAAAGAGCTTGAGATAGTCAACACTTCTGGATGGGTGTAATTATCCACATATCAAAAGGGAGGACACTGAGGCTCAATGGAGTAAGTGAGGAATAAGGCCATGCAGTTATTAGTCAGCAGAAGCTGGAGGCAAAGCCAGGCTGTCTGGTTCCCAGGCCTGAGTCCTTCCACTCCTGTTTCACACTGAGCACGAGAATTCCAAGTCAGATTTCCAGACTCACTGGGTCAGTCTCCACCACAGTGACAAAGGCAAAAATGGCAAGGAGAGGAAGTCAGGCAGTCTGGCTCTAGACCCCATCGTTCTCAACTCTTAATTCCTTTTGAAATCAAAAGGATGTCTATAAAAGATCTTTTCTTTTTCTTTTTATGGTACTCCAAAGTATTTTACAAGATGCTATTTTAACAATAACCATGGAAACACTGATGTCGATGGGAAGGAGGATACAGGGAAAGGAGATGTGGTGGAGGAGGAGTGGCTCAGATCCCCTGACCATCTCGGGAGGAATGCCTTAGTCTCCATACTACTAAAGGCAATTCTGGGGCTGACACATTGACAGGAAATTAAGACCACCCCAAAGTTGTGACTGGAGCCTCCAAGAGTCAGCTGCAAAAGAAGGGATAGCCAGCCAGAAAGAGGTCTGGCAGAAGGGAAGAACCATCACTACTTACCTGGGAACCCACAGAGATGTTTCTGAAAGCAGGGTAAGCTCTGGATTATTCTAGAAAGAAAAGAAATTTCGAAGGTCAGGCTGGTCTCCCGCTAGCAGCCATACCACCCGTTTCCCATCACACTTGCACTGTAGCACAGGACCTTGAGTCTAGCAGACAATGAATTGATCCTTACACATGACTTAATAGCTATGTGACCTTCAGTAGGCAGAGTAATCGCTCTGTGTCTATTTACTCAGCTGTGAAATGGGGATAATAATAGCTTCCTCACAAAGTGTTTGACGACAATGATAAGCAATGTGTGCAATGCATTCAACACACCTAGCACATAATGGTGGTATTTTAACAACAATAGCTAACATTTATTGCGCGTTTGTCTGGCATTGTTTCAGAGCCTTGTTCCCACGGGCTAACCCCTTTACTACTTGAAGGGAGGCACAGGTTTCACTGGCATTTGACAATATCAGTAAACAAGGCACAAAAGGGTCAAATTACCCAACTCAGGAAACTATAATGGTATGTGGTATCCTGGGAAGCCAATGATGACAATCAGGACCTAGATGGTAGTCACATGGTATCTGCCTAAATGACTAAATGTAAATGTTTGCTACTGTTTTGCTATGTAATTTCTCCTCTCCCAGACTCTGTTGTGTAAACTCCACAGAACTTAGCACTCAGTCAGTGACCACTTAGGCACAGACATGGATGCCAAAGTCATAAGTCAATCAGCCACTCATTCACACATTCAGCTAACCATCTCAAATATTTCTTAAGAATCCCTGTCTTCAGTGCTCTGTGGAGCACTGTGTGGGGATTCAAACACTCAGGTCATAGATCCCTCAGAGTCAGAAGGTTGACCTTCACGAGACCGTTAGAGAACCGGGGATGGGAGGGGGGGTGGATATGCTTGAAAGAATGACATGGCTTCAGGAAATAAGATAGCATGTTTTGCTCTGGCACCAGCTCTCTGAGAACTTTTCCACTTCCGCTTACATCTTTGGGTTTCATATTTAAATGAGATTTACCTAGATACCCTCAAGCCTTGAGATTCGAATTTACACTCTTTCTTTCAATCTTACTTTCTCCCAACAGTCCAGCTTCCAAGAGAATCTAACACTTCACTAAACAATGTCAGGATAATGCCAAGGTTATTAACATAAGACACAGCCCACATTTCCTAATTAGCTTTGTAAGCGTGATGAATTCATATCACAGGAAATCTTGGCAGGCAGAAAACAAGGGAAGAATGCAGCCCTGAGGACAAGTATACTTGCCTAGTCTGTCCTACCCTGAACCCTGGGAGTAGCCCCAAGGAATTTTAGACCAATCTGAAACCCAACGTCCCAGTGTCCCAGATGCCCAGCAGTTGGTAGGTAAAGTGCTATAGTAAGCGGGTGGGTGGATAAGAGTGCCTGTTAAAGATGAGGTAGAAACCAGACAACTGGATTGGAAGCCAAGCTTGCTTTCTAAAGTCCTAATGGTATATGCAACAAACTGGAGATGAGGATTCTACTGGTACTCAGCTCCTTGACTTACTACCAGTAGTCATTCTGATGGTGCTCTCACCTCTCTCTCTCTCCTCTCTCTCTCTCTCCCACACACACACACACACGTGTATATGTGTATGAGAGAGAGAGAGAGAGAGAGAGAGAGAGAGAGAGAGATTGAGATTCTTTGGGAAACATTTACTGCTATGCAAGATACTACAGACTTTATTTACAGATCAGTTCATCACACTTAGATTCATTTGCTTTCACAAAAACTCCTTGGAGGGGAATAATTCAGTGAGTGTAATACTTCCATTAATAGGAATTGATTTCAAAATATGCTTTTCAAAGTTTTGACAAAAGCAATTTTCTGATTTTCTTTATGTACCACAAAAAGGCAGACATTGTTGTGTTGACAATGTAATAAATGAGTTATCAAATAAGATATTAAACATTTATAGATTTAATTTTTAATAAAGGCTTTTAACAGACCCCAAAATATCCATCAATATTTGACATGAGAAGCAGCATTTTTGTTAAATTCAATCCCCTACTATAGTTGAACTTGACACAAGATGTTCACGGGTCTTAAACAGGACAAGGTGGTATTCCTTATGAAATGGTAAATAGCTATAGCATATGATTTTAGAAAGCACAAAATTGTCAAACTGTCACCTATTATTTTGCTTGGATCTGAGTAATGGATACACCGTCTTTGCTGCTGCTACAGAAGCACCCTGTGCCTGGGAATCATAGAGACTTTGGTTCCTAAGCTGACTCTGAAAGGGATTCCAAAAATGTTTTACTTGATGGAAATATTGTTAGAGCTCATGCATGGGCTTCAAAGATAACACTGAGCTACAGTACTCATTTGGACATATAAATTATAGCTTTTTTAAGCCTGGAAGGAAAAAAAAGGAAAATTTGGTAGTGGTTATCCTCGGGGTGGAGGATTATGGGTAATTATTTTCTTTATAATTTTCTTTCTGACCTTTCTATAATGAGTATGTATTACTTAATTTGAAAATAAACTTTTTCAATCTCATATATTATAAAAATAGCATGTAGCAAAAAATGAAGAAGTTTTAGAATCAACAGCTTGGGTTCTGACTTTGATGCCCTTTGATATGCTTCTCCACAGCTCAGGTATTGCTTGTGTTTTATCAACAAACTGAGAACACTATGCATGCTTTGGGGCACATGGAAGATTAAGTTAGGCTTTCCTGATAACAAATAGTAAATCAATATGTTGGTGTTTGCAAACTGATACTCCCCCCAATTGTTTATAGAAATACTGTGAGTTTTTAATAGGTAATTTTCAGGGATCCTAACAGTTTAAAATCTAGAAAAAGAGTAAGTAGGGTTTCAGCTCCTCAGTACCATGTTCTCTTTCCTATGGTGGTGACTAGATTCCTATAGTCCAGGACTCTGCAGTCCACTGTACATGCTCAGAATTCGTGACTGGGAGAAGCTTCTGTTTGCAGCAGGTGATGGTCAATGCAGAGACTCACAACTGGTCAACGTGCTGAGAATAAGCGACTGTTGAGTGCTGAACCACGAACGAACGTCTGTATCATACCCTCCAAGACTCACGAAGCATCACTGAGAAGGGGGTAGAAAGAACCCTGGAGGATGAGAAGGTGCTGTGCAGCAATTTCCTCAGAGATAAAACTTTGCATCCTTCAGGGAAGCTCCTAAGACAGGTTGTTCTAAGGGGAGGTACACAGTTCATCCTGTAGGGAAGCTCCATAAACCTGTTAAGGAGCTGAAGCAGGAAGTTCTTGAAACTGACCAGATACATATTAGGTCCTTTTCTTCCCAAGTGTAGAAGGGTAGATAAGCAGCAAAGACTTTGGAGACACATCCTTAGACAAGCCAAGATGCTGAGAAGACTCCCAGACAAGAGGCTCAGACCAACTAATCTGTCTGGAAAAGACACTCCGCAACCTGTTGACCTGCTTGAAAGTTGTACAGTGCACTTCAAGTTTCCAGCTTTTATGAGCTGTCACCCATGCGGGAGTTGGTTTTTGGTGAGGCAGCTGTCTTTGAGCCATTCTGCTCATATGAGAAAACCCTCATTCATACTCCTGTAAGCAACCCCAATAAACTCACTGGATCACCAGTTGGCCTTTGGTAGCATCCTTACTTTGATCTGTTGCTGATTCCCTGTCTGGGGTGAGTATTTGTTTGTTCATGTTTCCCCAGTTATAGTGTCATACAACAGAAGGGGTGCTGGAAACACTATCTTCTGAACATGACATGGCTGTTGCACTCAGGAACTCAAAAGGGCTACCTGCACAAGAATGGACCCATCAACATTCTACCATGGATGGGGGAGGAGCGGATGGGGCCCCAGTCCTCCTTAAGGAGCTGCAGGCAGTTAATGGTTGATGAAGAAAGGAATCATATTCTTCCCCACTGGTGTTGCCATTGGTTAAGTTGCCTTACTGAAGTAAATATACGTGAAGATAGCCCTAATTAAACTCAGTGGGGCACACACAGAGACTTGAAGGTAGGAAGGGGTCTTGCTGGGGAGAAGGGGTTTGGCCAGGGAAGAGGGATGAAAGGCTAATGGGGAGGGGAATATATAATCAAAGTATATTATATATGTGTGAAATTGTGAAAGAATAAATTTTAGAAGTAAAAAGAAAAATATTCTGATTGGGATGGGAGATGGAGGACAGAAAAGGAGACCAAGGCTACCATAATCAAAACCACCTCCATTTTGCCATTCTTTACCATTACAGTGAGCAAAATAAATTGTGAGATTGCTTAAATATGAGGTGAGGAACAAGCTTATAGAGTCTCTGGCTTTCTTTTTACATGGTAGCTATGTGGATATTTTCACCATATTCACTGGAAGGTAGTTTAGTCAGTTAGTCTTGTGATAAAATATATATGCTCAACAGAATGTGGCTGTTGGGCATATGTTGCCCTTGGATATATGTTGCTGTTGACTACAGCAAAAAATATTGATTTAACTGACTTTACTATCAAGTCAGGTATTTGTTGACATGTGGAAATGAAAAATATCAAAACCACAAAAAGCTTGATATACAGGTCAAATCCTATTTCGGCTCACCCTGAGGGACTGTCCAAAGTCATCTGCTACATTGGAATTGTGTACTATGGGTGTCTGCCTGAGTCACACTAAAAAATAAAACAAGACAAAACAGGATTTTCATTATAATCAGATTTGCTGCATAAATGAATATTGGTATAGATGTTTTGCATAGATAATTCATTGTAGAAAGTACATCAGTGGAAAAAAAAAAACTTACAAATTTAACTTCTCCCTTTTCTCAACAATGCAGGCAAGTCTTGCTTTCTATCAAGGTATGCTTGTTTCTTTTTCAACACTGATTCCCCTTGTTCCTCTGACTGGGACTGACTGTAGGCAGACACTCAGGAGATGGCTGATAAGGAAATAAACGGAATGACGCTTTGGAACCAAAGCAAAGGAGGTAAGCTCACAACAGTTTCCCAATACAGAAGGAGATACAAAATTTAGAAATATCCAAAATCAGAATAGCAAGCAGGTTTAAGCACCACCAAACACACTC